CCCCGCATCCATACCTTCTTTTTCAGCTTGCCCAGAAGGAGCGGGTTCCATGTAACTCGTTTGGTAAAAGCCACTGCATGAGAATTCCTAGGGAGTTACATGGAATTCCTGACAGCGTCAAAGGCCGCCCATGAAAAGAGCTCTGCAGGTGGGGCGGAGTGAGCAAGGACCCATCTTCCCCTTCTTGATCTGGTCACAGAAGCCTCATTGTGGCCCCGATCCCCCCTCTTTCTCAGGAAACACGTCAGCATGGTTCTCGTTTGGTAAAAGCCACTGCATGAGAATTCCTAGGGAGTTACATGGAATTCCTGACAGCGTCAAAGGCCGCCCATGAAAAGAGCTCTGCAGGTGGGGCGGAGTGAGCAAGGACCCATCTTCCCCTTCTTGATCTGGTCACAGAAGCCTCATTGTGGCCCCGATCCCCCCTCTTTCTCAGGAAACACGTCAGCATGGTTTCCTCTCCTCCGCACTGAAGGCAATAGCCACCCTACCTGTTTCTGCCTGCCCTTCAGTAGTGCGCTGATACGTAGTGCTAAGGGACCTGCTCGCTCACGAGTCTGGCTGCACAGTCCAATACCTAAATAATAGGACTGTGTCCTTATGCATCAGTCCTTTGATCTGAGCATCTCGGAGTGCTTTACATGGGAAGGTGCTGGTCCCATTTCACAGACAGAGAAACTGAGGCACAGAGCAGCGTCGTGACTTGCCTAAGGTGATACAGCAAATAGGTTGCTGAGTCAGCATCAGAAATCCAGGCCTCTTGGCTCCTAGTTATGTGTACTAACCACTAAGCCGTACTGCTCATGAAGAGCAATGATGCTCAAAAATCCAGCAGTCCGCCTGCAAGTCCATGCGCATCTCTGATCAAACACAGCCACTCCCTGTGGCATGTTAGGGGGGTTTCATCTATAAAAGTGCCATGATGTGGCACTAAATCCCCCCTGGCCTTTCTAAAATGGTTTCCCCTTCCTTCCCCATCGGGCCTTTTACAATTTTTTTTTGCAGAGTCTTTTATGGATGGCCCCTCACTTAGCATGTAGCTGCATGGCAGGGGTGAATTATGCTCTCCTAGCAGGGTAACTACAAAGTGGAGCCAAGAGCATGTCAGCAAATCTGAGCAAAAAAAAAAAAAAAAAGAAAAAAAAAAGAAACAAAGCCTTGCTCTTGTGTTTCAGACACGCTTAGCACGTGGGGGAGGTGTCCGGCTTACGGACGTGATGTACCGACTCCCTGTCTCTAGCAAGGTTACTTCTGTAGGCCCTCGCCAACATCTCTTCCTCCCTTCCCGGGTGCGTTACCGTATAGGGCTCCCATTGTGGTAGTATCTGACAGTCTCACGCCTCGTTATCACCCATATTTTACAGATGGGAAACTGAGGCACACGGTAGCTTGCCTCGCGCTGGGAATTCACCCGAGGCTAGCACTGTAACCCAGTGGCCCATTCTTCCTCTTCTCTATCAGGGCCGTGTTCTCTGCAGCACCCCTTGATACTCAACATCAAGAGGCCTTGATACTCTGCGTCGGAGTGGGGAAGCTTTTTGGGTCGGGGGCCGCTGACCTACGGAGAAATCAGTCGGGGGCCGCACGCAAGCGAGAAGCAAAAAAACCAACCAACCAACCAGCAAACCCACCCTCAGTGATGAGGCTGCTGACTGAGAAGCAAACCCTCCCTCAGTGATGAGGCTGCTGACTGAGAAGGAGAGCGACTCTCCCCACGACTCTCCCCATGTTCCCCTCGTGCAGCAGAGCCATGAGGACCCCGGCTAGTAGGTTTTGTGGGCTCTAGCCCTGCAGAGGGATGGTGGGGGAGCTGGAGCACCAGCACAGGCTCCTCGATGCTGGGGGGAGCCCCAAGCCTCGGGGGTCGGATCCAGGCAAGCTGGGAGCTGTATCTGGCTCCCCGGGCCTTAGGTTCCCCACCCTGGTCTATGACATGCCATCCCAATGGCCCCCTCTTGGTCTCTGTACTGCTTTCTGCCATGGTAGTAGATATCTCCCATAGATCCCAAAACTCTTGAACATCCAGCACGGAGAGGAGCTAAGAAACCCTCTCCGTCCACGTTCCCAGGCTGAAGAATGAGATGGAAGAAACTTTCCCAATGCCTGCCCCCTGATGTTGATTCAAAGGAGCCTGCACTTACATTGTTCAGGAGTAGGGGAAGGGTCCTGGAAGAACAGCATAGGGCAGGCACCTAGAATCAGAGAAATATTGGGCTGGAAGGACCCGAGAGGTTGTCTAGTTCAGCCTCTGGCACCAAGGCACGAGCAAGTAATTTAGGCCACCTCTGACAGGTGTTTGTCCCACCTGTTCTTAGAAACCACCAATGATGGGGATTTCACAACCTCCCTTGGAAGCCTGCTCCAGAGCTTAACAACTCTTTAAGCCATTCTTATGCAGCACACTCTTATGCACTCTTAATAGGTAGCAGGTTTAAAACAAACAAAAGAAAGGATTTCTTCATGCAACACACAGTCAACCTGTGGAACTCCTTGCCAGAGGATGTTGTGAAGGCCAGGACTTTAACAGGGTTCAAACAAGAACTGGATAAATTCATGGAGAATAGGGTCCATCAATGGCTACAAGCCAAGATGGGCAGGAATGGTGTCCCTAGTCTCTGTTTGTCAGAGGCTGGAAGTGGATGACAGGGGAGGGATCACTTGATGATTCCCTGTTTCTGTTCATTCCCTCTGGGGCATCTGACATTGGCCATTGTCAAAAGACAGAACACTGCACTAGATGAGCCTTTGATCTGACCTAGACTAGCTGTTCTTAAGTTCACATCTTCACTGGCTGTGCTGGAGATAGATCTTCTGGCAGTTGATTTAGCGGGTCTAGTTAAGACCCACTAAATCGAATGCTGAGGGCTCTGTTAGGCACCAGTACTCCTTGCAGTTGCGAGGAGTAAGGGAAGCCGACGGGAGGGCCTCCCTCTGTGAAGATGGCGCCAAGCTCGGCTTAAGATAAGTCAATTCCAGCTACGTATTTTATCCAGTGTCCCTTGCTGCAGGGTAAACCCTTGGCAGCTGATGCTGAAATCCGTGGATGTGAACAGGCATGCTTGGCAGGGGTCTAAGAATGCAGCCGGGTTTCAGGGCCTCATTTTTTGAGGTTTACGCGGCTTTTCGACAAAGGGGGGGAGGGTTCGCCAGAAAAGCTGCGTCTAAAGTACTTTCACTTTTTAAAGCAGATGTGCAAATATTTTGACTGTTCCCTGTAGTCTAGATAAGCCCTTAGGTTCCAATGGGTCAAACTTCTTCCTCAAGGGACTGAATAAGGATCGACCTTAATGCAAATCAGCTCAGGTACACAGAATGGTCAACCAAAGAACGGATCCAACGGTTCTGTTTAAACTCAGCCTTCGATTTCAGTTGGGACGGTTTGCTTGAGCGCTGGGACTTTTGCTTGTGGATACACCACAGGCCAAATTCTCCTTCCACTTAGCCCAGTGTAAATCAAGAGAAGCCACACCGGAGCGGGTAGAGGTACACAACTGTGATGCTGGAGCAAGATCTGAATTGGGTGTTGAGTAAGAATAGCAGGATCTGGCTCCTTTTTATTTGTATTAAGACCTAGAAGCCCTCGCTGATATCAAAGCAGCATTGTGCCAGGTGCTGTACATGCCCACTGTAGGGTTGCCAGGTGTCCGGTTTTCACCCGGACTGTCCATTATCCGGGTCCCCCATCTGGTAAAAAAAACAGAAAATATCGGACATGTGAAATGTCTGGTATTTCCTGTTTCCCTCAGAAGCCTAGTAGAGTGAGGAACATGGGACCATTTAAAGGCATAGCGCCTTTTTTTTCTTTTGCTTAACAACTTTGGTCTTCCCTCTTTTTTTTTTCTCAACAGAATTTTTTCCCAGTGGTTTCTTTTTGGGGGGGGGGGGGGGGGCCCATCTGGCAACCCTAGCCCACTGTGAAATATTCTTTCCTAAGATCAAGCATGTGCTGTGTTTGCTTTGTGACGTTATGATGACACCTTCAAAGAAAGGGATTCCTGTATCCGTGAGGTGCCTCTAGTGACCCCCATCTGTCCCTCCATGAGGTGCAGGGAGAGATGGCGAGAGGAAGTGAAGAGCAGAATCAGCATGATATGCAAAGCAGAAACATGAGGAAGGAATGAACCTGGGAGACAGGGAGCTGCATAAGCCTGCCTGAGGCAGAGCTCTTGCACGGATAATCCTTTGTGAAACAGAGTCCCCACTATCTGCAGAGCCCTTTAAAATCTCCGTCTGCCACCCCACTCGGGCTTTGCCATGCCTGCGTAGCACTGGTCTTTGTTAGAGAAAAGGAAATTAATAGTTCCTACAATTATTATTTCTACCATTTTAGTACCAAAAGAAAATCCAATTTGTGTACTAGGCAGATTTTGATTACGGGGACACAGGGAAACGTGCTTTATCAGCCAGTAAGTGGATTCTGGTATTTGAATCTACGTGGGATACGAGGCAGCAGCAAGTGGCGTTGAGCAGAAACAGGAATGACTGACTCTGACATTGGGGGGCCACTTTTAACCTCTCCATCACCTAGCGCCTCTGACTTCTCAGAGCTTCGCTGAGTGTTCTCTTCTGCAGCAGACGGGCAACTCATTCCTACTGTCGCCAGCAGGTGTCAGGGAACCAAAGCAAGAAACCAGGGCTGCCCGTTGGCACGTCTTAGGATGGGCTAGAAGTGCAGGTGAGCAATGGGTGTGTAGGCCTCTCCCTACATCATGAAGTGGAAAGCTCAATACACTATGGAGTACACACACACACACACACACACACACACACACACACACACACACACTTCACTACAAATTTAACATCCTTTTTCACACACACACACACACACACACACACACACACACACTATGCACTACAAATTTAACACCCCTTTCTCACACACGTACACTAACTATTCACTACAAATTTAACATCCTTTCTCTTTCTCTCGCTCTCACTCACTCACACACACACAGTATTCACTTCAAATTTAACACCCTTGTTCTCTCACACACACACTATTCACTACAAATTTAACACCCTCGCGCTCTCTCACACACAACACAACACACACAACATACTATTCACTAAAAATTTAACACCCTTTTTTTCTCTATGTATCTTTCACAGGCCAGTCTTGGTTGTGAATTTATTCTTTATGCGTGAGGGCCTTGTCTCTCAGTCCAACTCAACCAATCGCGCCTTTTGAACGCACTAAAATGACTTTAACTGAGTGAGAATGGCAACAGGGAAAATAGATCCCACCCAGGGACCAAGGGGCATTAGTCATCTCTGTTTCCAGCCCAGCTTCAAAGGCAAAGGAGCTGCTCCGTGAGGCCGGAATATCTAGAGACCTTGACGAGACAGGAACCACGCATGGTCATCACCGTGTTTAAAGCTGCGCACACTGTAGTGTGTATTTATCGAAGGGGGCTTGCACGATCGGTCTATGGCAGTGGCCCCAACATTTTCAGGCTCATGCTGCACCCGCCTTTCCCCCTCCCCCGGTTTTCCCCTTCAGAGCCAGGGCTGGGAGTGGGAGCAGAGATAAGGGGGCTGCAACTGGGAGTGGGTCTGGGGCTGGGAATGGAATCGCAGACAGGGCCTCTGGTGAGGATGGGGTTGAAGCTGAGGGCAGTGCTGGGACCAGGGCCGGGTACAGAGTGGCTGGGGGGTGTTGCCGTAAGCGGGGTGCTTGTGCAGCCACTCAGGAGAGATTCACATGCCACCCAGCTGATCAGCAGAGTGCCCCCAGATGGGTTTTTTTTGTTTCTACTGGTGGTGCACATTCACACATGCCTGGGTGCACATAAAATTTATTCCACACATGGATGGAAAAAACACTCACATGGATGGAAAAGATTAGAGGAAACATTGGCTCAGGGCAGGACTGGAGCAGAGCTGGGAACAGACTGGGGCTGGGTAGCTCTCCCTTCTCTTCTCCTATGGGGATTTGCCTGGGGCCTGCTGGATTCATTGCCCAAATGTTCCCCCCGTCCTCCCAGTTTGGGGAACTCTGGCTAATGGGGTGTTTGAGTTGTTGCCTTTGGCTGGCTGCTGCTCATTATTTGTAGCGTGATATTGTTTCTGCTCCCTGGTTGACCATTAAAAAAAAACCAGTATCAGAAATAGCAAATAATGAATAAGAAACATTGTGAATTCCCAGATGAAGAATCAATTGTCACCTGCAGTCCTGAGCAAAGGATACTATGGAGGAGAGCCATGGCAGTCTGTTAATTCACAATTCTATCTGTCGCTTTGTTTTCCCTGGATTTGACCAGTGTTAGTGTGTGCATCCTCTCTCTCTCTCTCTCTCTCTCTCTCACGCACAGAATTTCACAAAGAGCCTCCCTCTGTAAATTGCGAAATTGCACATGGAACCTGTCCTTTGTACATTGATTAAACCAACTTCTCTGCCTGCTGGTGGTCGTGCTTTACACCTGCCATCGCTTATGCGGTTGGAAACATGCCTCCATCCAGTCTGCACAGGTTCTTGGGGGAGTGCGGTGCTCGACAACCTGATTGGCATGCCAAGATGTTTTTTGCAGGTTCATAACAATGGTCGAGGCATTTTTCATGACTGAATGTCCAAACTGAAAACTTGGGCCATTTATTCATTATGGCTACGTCTAGACTGGCATGATTTTCCGCAAATGCTTTTAACGGAAAAGTTTTCTGTTGAAAGCATTTTCGGAAAAGAGCGTCTAGATTGGCACAGACACTTTTACGAGAAAGCACTTTTTGCGGAAAAGCGTCCGTGCCAATCTAGATGCGCTTTTCCGCAAAAAAGCCCCAATCGCTATTTTCGCGATCAGGGCTTTTTTGTGCAAAACAAATCTCAGCTGTCTACACTGGCCCTTTTGCGCAAAAGTTTTGCGCAAAAGGGACTTTTGCCCGAATGGGAGCAGCATAGTATTTCCTCAAGAACACTGACTTCCTACTGTAAGAAATCAGTGTTCTTGCGGAAATTCAAGCGGCCAGTGTAGACAGCTGGCAAGTTTTTCCGGAAAAGCGGCTGATTTTCCGGAAAAACTGGCCAGTCTAGACACAGCCTACATGTATATTTTATCTGACCCATTATGAGGTCAATTGTACCTTTTGGTTCCCGCACCAGGATTCTGACGTGTAAGGTATAAGGGAGGTAAAAACCTTCAAGCAGCTTTACGGGACAAATTGAGCCTCTCACACTTGTGAGTGCATGTACATGTTATGAATTTAGGGCTGCAAACAAAATCTGGAAAGAATTTTTTTTATGGGCAAGTGCCGGTGTAGATGGGGAAGTCTAGCCAACTTTCCTCTGCGGCTAAGTAAAATGAAAATCAAAATGAGTAGAATATGGCCTGTGTATCTAGATTCACCTATGTTAATGCATCACTGAAGCACCTCGGAGCATGTTGTCACATTGTGATGGGCGTAAGGAGATAGAGGGGAGGCCAGGAGGTAGCAAATTTTGACAGGTACAGCCGTAGTGGGCTGGAGTCCCCATTGGCCAATCTGATTGCTCCTTCAGTGTTGCCTGTTTTAACATGTTATTTCCTTCAGTCTGATGTCTCAGTGCTTAGAACAGGGAGATCAGAACATTTCAAGGCACCGGGATACAGCAATCATGTTCTCCAGCCTCTGTACAATGTGATTTGAATGTAGGACACCCTGGTGATTTGTGGAATCGCTGTTAGTGGTTCTGTGTATTTGCAGAGATCTCCTACCCCAGCCTGGAAGGGGAAGGCAGCGGCTGGGAGCCATGAGGCTCCTGGTGCCTGTGGTGAATTCCCCATTCCTGCCTGGAATTGCAGTGAATTCCCCATGGCAAGTTCTTGTGGCTCCCAGCCATCACGGTGAATTCTGGAGCCACCAGGGTTTATGAATTTTGCCATTTGCAATGGATGTGGGAACGCATCCACCACGAATGGTGAGGATGTCATGAGCATGCAATCCTCGCTTACTGGGAGTGTTTTTTTTTTTTTTATCATTTGTGCCAATTAAAGTTGCTGGGAGATTATGCAGGGGATTGCAAGAGCAGCCTGGTCTTGGGTTGACTATCCCTGGCAAACGGATCTTTTACAATGATCTCACTAGAGTTTTTATTAGAAGTTTGTCAACCATACAAACAGAACCCGCTCCCTCCGAACCAAAAGGTGCTAGTTGTGTCTAAATGACATGTCCAGATTGTGCACAAAGCTAGGGGGTGCGTTGCGGGTGGTTTCCATGGCTCTTGTCTTTGAGCATTTATTCGCTAGTCTTCCTCCAGAGATCTGAAAGCGCCCTGCAAAAGCGGGCAAGTATTATCACCCATTTTGCAGATGGGGAAACTGAAGGACAGGGAGGGAAGTGGCTTGTCTGGATGTTACTGAGCTGTGAACAAAACTCTGGTTTCCTGACATCTTGTCTACTAGCGCAGCAATGGGCAACTAGGGGAATCTGACATCCCTGTGCCTGGGCTACGGTAAACAAACCGTCTTGCGGGCAACCTGACGGGCTGCGTGTGGCCTGCAGGCTGCCAGCCACGGCCCTAATTCGCGCTGCCTCTTGAAACGCACAATCTCTCTGGCCTGCGTGGAACCCTTGTGCCTCTTGCAGCCTGGTTTCTCGTGGTTTGATCGTCGCCTTTTCTAGAGTTCGGGGATGGTTCTTTGTAACAAACCAACTCGCTTTGCTCTGAGCCAGTGATTTTTCGGTATGGTGCTGAAAATCTGCTGCTGCTTAGTTGAGGACCTTGGTTAATTAAGGTTGCAGTGTGGCTGTAGCCATCGTGGTCCCAGAGCCCGAGAGAGACAAAAGAAGTGAGATCCTAGCTTTTAGTAGACCAAGGACAAACGACACAGAGCCAGAACTGAAGCCGAGCTCTGCAGAGCTCAAAAGTTTGCCCCCACGCCTGACTTCGTGGCGAGGACAAACGACGCAGAGCCACAACTGAAGCCGAGCTCTGCGGTGCTCAAAAGTTTGCCCCCACGCCTGACTTCGTGGCACCCGTTACATTCATGTCACCGGTCTGTGGAGCCCCCGATGGAAATGCACATGGCTCAGTGTCACTGGCTGGTCCCTACATTCGTGTCTGTGTCTTTTAAATGTGTTTACAGTTCTTGAGAGAGTGACGTGGCCGCTCATCTAATAGCCCATCTCCCTCTGCTGTAAGGGACAGGCCAGCTGGCGAGGGGGTGTAAGATAACCTCCAGAGAAGTGCTTGGGAGAGGAGCGGTTTAGCCAAGTGCTAAATATTGCCGTGTAGACATAGCAAGCCCCCTGGGTAGAAAGCAGGGAGCCCCTGAGCTGGGCTAGCACCGCAGTCTGAAGCAGCCGTCAGCCCCACTAGCAAGCCAGGCTGATAAGGCAGAAAACAAATTGATCCCATGCCTTAGGGCAGGGGTGGGGAACCTCAGGCTTTGGGCACTAGGGAGCCTGTGCTGATGCTCCTACCAGCCACCGGCAAGGCTGGAGCACACAAAATCTACTAGCCTGGCCCCCCTAGGCTCTGGGGTGTGAGGGGAATGTGGGGAGGGTCTTCCTCCTTAGTCAGGGGCTTCTCATTTGTGTGCGGCCCCCAACTTCAGATCAGATCTCTGGTCCCCGCTCTTTCTGCTTTGCACAGTGGGAATGTCCTGGGGGCAGGTGGGAATTCCCTTTTTAGAGGGGAACCCCTGGGTGATGTCAGCCCCACATAGCCAGCGGCCCTATGCCCTGTCCCGTGAGTGCAGAGGATGCTGCCTCTGCAGATCTTAGGTAGGCTGAATGGCCTCTAGGGAGCTTGTCTCAGGCAAAACAAACCACAGCAGCCCCGAGCGAAAGCAGCCTCCAGCACAGGGGAGATGGAAAGTGGTGGAAAGGCAGCTTTGCCTTGCTCCGGCCTAGCAGCTCTGTAAAATCCCAACTGTTCTAGACTAGGAATTCCTGTCTGTGAAATGGAACAGCTGCACTGCAGTTATACACCCATAGCAAGCCACTAGCCACCCACCCTGAGAGCAGAAACATCTGCCCTGCCCCGAATGTTCCTGTTGCAAACGGAAGGGGAACGCTGTTGTGCTAACTGCGAGGGGTGATGCAGGGAACGGGGAGGTAGGTAAAGTTCCCTGATTTATTTCCTGCATAAGATGCGGCAACAAGAGCAGAACGGCCCCTGTTCATTTCTCGTGCACTTGCAAAGTTCATTGCCGTGAAATACTACAAGTTACACGAATGCGTGGGTCCGGGCCGGGAGTGGTGCTAGCCTGGTGGACGCTTGCTTATTAGTGACCATAGCGAATCAACCAACCCGTTATTAGAGTCCATACTGTTCCATCAGTGGAACTTCTGTTCCCAACACTGACTGAGTCAGAGGTGAGATCTAGTTTGGTTTTTGACTCTCCTATTTCCACACCTGCAATCAAGGATCGCCTCCAGAAATAATTACTCACGCCCTCTCTAGGTCCTTATCACCTACTCTTGAGTTGCTCTCAAGAATGACCAGGCCATGGAGGAGATGACTTTAATCTGCTTATGGAGCTCAACTTCTCTTGTAGTTATTCACCTCTGCATCTAGGGCCAGCCCGAAATAACTATTTATATTGCTCCGCCTTGACTTGTATTTACTCTTAGGGTGTGTCTACACAGCACAGTGTAACTGCTGTTATTCTGAAATAACAATGTGAGCGGCAATGCAGCAATTCTGTTATTTCGAAATAAATTCGAAATAACGGGCGGCTCATTCCGACTTCTGTAGATCTCATTCCACGAGGAATAACGCCTCTTCCAAAATAGCTATTTCAAAATAGCTGTAGTGTGGATGCTCCATGGGTGCTATTTCGAAATAACTCCTCCCCAGAGCCGTTCAGACTAATTACTCCCCAATGCTTCCTGGGGCGCTCAATTGAGGTAATGCGTCCACATTAGGGGAGCCGGCCTCAGACTCATTTTGAGGCTTCCCTGCAGTGTAGACGCACTATTTCGAAATAAGCTATTTCAGAGTATTTCTTCGGGAATAGCTTATTTCGAAATAAGTGTGCAGTGTGGACGTACCCTTCTAGTTCTCTGCCTAGTGACCTCTGTGGTGTAGCGTCTCTGCTGTGAGCACACTGCAAAAGGGTCCAAAGCTACCCGTGTGCAGGGTGCAGATTTCTACCCCACACATGCATGCGCCGGTTGATTTCAGTCCTGGGGAACGTGCATAGAGCTTGGCTAGGGCCATTATAAGGTGTTATTAAAAGAGGATTTTAGAGGGGCACGTCACAGTAAATGCGAGCAGCAGATGCTTCTGGATGTCGCGGTATTTGGCAAGGTGGCAGGTACAAAAACGTGTCACTTACCTCCAGGTTAGGCTCAGCTGCCTCACTCAGTTATGCCTTTCCAGGATAGACCCTCCCCCCACCCTCCCAAGCATTGGAAACAAGCAGTCCCTGTGGGAAGAATTGTAGATTTTGGCCATCCATCCCTGAACAGGCATCATAAAAAGTAGGAGTTGGTCCCCGCAGGGAGGAAGCCGAATATGGGAGGAGAAACCAGAAGCAGCGGAAGTGTCCATGTGTTCTGATACTCGCCCCTCCGTGCCGTCTCAAGGCACGTAAAGGACTTCACGGAGCCCCACTTGCTAGCTCCAGCTGGCCACGTGGGTGACCCTCTAGGGTTCTAGGGGGGCGGAGACGTGGGTCTGGCTGTGCTCTGCATGGCTGGTGTTTTACCTTGTGGTGCCTTCTCCTCCTTCTGAATCTGAGCAGCTCCTTGTGCTGCCGGGACACAAAGTTGACAGCGGCGTACTCCAGAAGCGCTGAGAACACGAAGAGCAAGCACACCGCCATCCAGATGTCTATGGCCTTAACGTAGGACACCTGTGGGGCAGAGAGGGCGACGGTGAGACCTTGCTCCTGCGCTTGCCTTCCTTCTCGCTGTTCCCCCGCAGTCTGGGGAAAGTGAGGAGGAAACAAACGAGGCATTCCTGATGTGCTCAGCAAGAGCTCTG